CACCTCCGCGAGGAGAAGGGGCCAGAGGCTGCAACGCAACTTTCACAGAGGAGAGCCACAATGCAGCCTGACCCAGCCGACGTAGCAAAACAAGGACTGGCCCACGGTGCAAGACAAGAACCTATGCTTTGTACAAAATTGCTCACTGCGAGTGAGAAACCAAGCCTCGAAGCGGCATAGAACCCGAAGCCTACCTCGCCATTCAGGCAGCTGTGCAACGCACATCCCAAGTGCAGTGCAACAGGCCTTGCTGGGTGAGGCAGACCGGGCTCCTTGCTGCCCGAGGCCTGTCGTACAGTAGTCATCCGAGGTCCTGCAGACTGGTCGTCGTCTTGGCATCTTCCTCGAGGTCCGTCGATCAGGAGTTCGCCGCACCTGACACTGGACGGCTCGCCCGATGGTCCTAGCGTCCTCCCAAATGGCTGCAAAGCCGAGCGGGTAGACTGTCTGCGCTGCTCTCGCTTGACCATGAGTTGCACCTGGCCGGGCGAAAGTGTGTGTGGCTCGGCCGGAAGATCCGGTGGTGGAGGAGCCCCTCCTGCGTGGACTGGAGCCTCTGTAACAGAGGCCTTCCCTGTCATAGCCATAGCCCCATCGTGGGCCATGCTGGCCTGCACTTCGCCAAGCCTCGTCGACGGAGAGGGCAGGTAGGGCATCTTGGCCAAGTTGGCCCCCGAGAGCGGTGGATCTGCACCATAGGAGGCCAAACCCGGAGGTGGTGCTTCGACACTCGGCGCGTCCCGCGGCAGTGCACCTCTCTCGGGAAGACCAGCCGAGCTGTCGATAGCCATGGCTTGAGGCCGCGTCGGCAGCACACCCTGCTGCCTCATAAAACGGACTGCCATCATGGCTTGTTGCAGTGTCTCCGCATCCGGTAACTCCTCGTCCTCCTGGAGCAGCCGCTCCCAGCTGCCATCGTCCGGCATGGCCGGCTCCTCGGTCTTGGGCATAGGTGTCCCATTGACGATCGCTTGCACTTTCGCCGCTGCCAGTTCGCCTGACTCGGCAACCTGAGCTGCTTCTTGGTCCAGGCGCTCCAAGTCCGCGAAGTACTGTCTGCGTTGTTTGATAAAGTCTTGTTTGGACTTCTCCTCGAACCGTTGCCACTGCTTTTCCCGGGTGGCCCTTTCCTCCTGTATCTTGCGGAGTCTGGCCTCCGCCTTCCTCGATACTGTCAGCTCCTTCTGAATAAGCTGAGTGCGTGTCGGCGCCACGCTCGTAGAACTGGCCGCTGCGGCTGGCCTGTCGCTCAACCAGTTTCTCTGCTGGCCCTTGTTGTTGTCCTCGCGGACATCGATCTGGTCGTACCTCAACGACTGCTGTTGCTGGCCTTTCTTGGGAGACGGCCAGGCACCCTGCCAGTACTGCCACGGCGCAGAACGGCCACCGGCCCCATGCTGGCCAGCCCATTGTGCCGGTTGATCTTCGCGCCATTGCGTCCTACGTTTGCCACCACCCAAATGGGCAAGCTCACGGTACCTGGGTGCACTGTGGTGCGAGCCGAGGCGAAGGAGGTCACGCAGAGCAGGGGATAAACCCTGTTGCCGAGCCTTCCAGACTCGTTTCCTTGCCTTGCTTCGCGTCCTACGGCACCGCCGGTGCCAAGTAGGACTTCGAACCGTGGCGCTATTCGCCACTGGGGCTCCGGCTATGCTGGGACACTGTGGTCTACCAACTCGATCCGAAACCCTAGTCTGCCACACAACTAATTAAACGCGATCGCGAACTTGAACATGGGCGAGGGTGGTCCTTTGCAGAAAGTGACGACCGGCCATGCGAGTCTGGGATTCTTGCTTAGACGAGAACCCTCGGAATCCCATTGAACCCAAAAGACTGAATCAGGTAACCTGCAGTAAACAGACAAATTGATCTCCAGAGTCTCCAGCCGGTTCTGAGCACAGGACAACCCTGTACAGATGGCACCTCGCATCATGTTCTCGCCGAGAAACGTCTCGGTGTGCCGCGAGGGCTCTAAATGGGATGGCTGCTTCGCAGGTCCTCGTGTCCATCATGGACTGGCGCTGCTTGGCAGCTCGTTATGAACCGCAGGGCTGCTTAGCAGCCCAGCGGAAAGACCATGCTCGTAACGTCGTCCTGAGCTTCGGGTGCTGCCAGAGCATGCCACTGCCTCATCAGAGCCCTTCTGAGGTGCCAGCACGGTAGCCACCGCCTAGGCAACCCATGCTCAGAAATGGTGAAAGAATAGCGCACACAAAGGGTGCAAAGGTCGAAGTGTTGAGGAAGTGTCAGCGACCTGAGTGGTTGGCCTGTTAGCGAGGCCCAACCCTCAAACGCGGCTGTTTGCAGCTTCGCCGTGTCTGCCTCCGGAGTGCCGGGAAATGTGACGCTGCCGAAAAGGCCTGCACCGAACTGGCACCCTGTTCGGCCAAAGGGCATCCTGCACCAGAGAGGGCAGGTCCTCCTGCCCCACCACCTCCCAGATGCCTCAGGCTGCAAAGCAGCATGAGCAGCCGCTGAAGGAGTCGGACCATGAAGGTCGCGGCCGTCGCTCGCCAGCACAACTTTGGCCTCGTGCTGTGCTGCAAGTATTACGGGATATTACGGGTACATGCACGCAGACCGGGTGGCACCCTGACACATGTCGCAGGGGGCCTCCTTGCCTTCGTCCAGGTGCAAGTGTTGCACCTCGTAAACATGAGCAAGCATGTGAACCCTGCCAGAGAATCCTTGCCAAGCCTGCGGTGTGGCGATGATTCCACAACGCTTGGCGCCGGCGTCCCCCAGGGCCCGCGTCACCCCGAGTCCCGGCCGGCACTTCCCGGCTGCGTAAACGCGCGGCACCTGCTCCTCGGGCGAACTAGCGGACTCTCAACCACGTGCCACAGGCAGGCTGTCGCTTCTCATTGTTTCATCTCCGGCCTCCACACGCACCTCCCCCCCGCTGCGCTCCACGCGAGCCTTCTCCTTTCACCAGATAGAGCCACACCGGCACATCTACAATTAGCTTTCGAACATCATCGAGAAGCTGGTGCGAAGGCCTGGGCGCAGCTTGGCTTGTGGTCTGAGCTAGCAAAGACCACCTGATTGTCCTAAGATGCCATGGCACACGTCGGATGCACTAAAGGGCCAGCGGTCAGCCTTTACACGAAGCCTGACCAGTCGTTGATTGGACAAAAGCCGGGGGTGCCACCTCCAACAGAACGCAGCGGCTGTCACCGGCGTGGGCCACCCAGACACTACTGCCCTTCCACAGGGCCGCCACCGCCTCGCAGGCAGTCACGGTGTGACAGAAGCACAAGGTGGTTCGTGAAGTCTTGAGACTGTGCTTCGGGGCTCTGATGTGCAGCCGACACACCGTGCAGCCACTGTCTGCGTGGCGGCTCAAATCAGCATCGGCCTGCAGGAGTCTGTGGTGTCCGGTTCCCCTCACGTGCCAGAAAGCAGCTTCGCCTTCTCGAAGGCCTGGATCAATGCCTTCGCAGCGTTACGGCTCACCGGGTGGAGCTCGGCTGTTCTTCTGAAGCTCATTCGTGCCACACCCACTACCAGAGTGTCTGGTCTGACGCAGGCTGAAATCGGCCTTCTCAACGGTGTCCCCTGCCACGTTCTCGTCGCCAATTCCCTGCTCCAGAAGCAGGAAGGGGACGAGTTGCGCGGCTCTCGTCGCCGCTACGTGGCCTGGGAAGGACCAGGCCACAGGGCAAGGGGCGAAGCTCAGCCACGACCTGTGCACATTCGTGCCGAGCAAACGGCCTTTCTTTCCGTGGCCATCGAGGACGCACGCAAAGGTGTAGCCATTATTGAAAATGGTCACAGAGAAATTGTCCTGGTTCGGACAGTTGGATGATGCCTGCGCCATGGAGAAGAAGCAGGAGTAAGTCACATCAGTCAAAGCAAACCGTGCGCAAAGAGGTGCTGCAGTACCCTTACCTTGCCTTTTCACCCTTCCTTAGCAACAGGACGCACTCATGAAGGCTCCCAATTATATCGTACCACCCAGCTGCCAGCGACTGAGAACGGAAGACGCAAGCCGAAACTCTGGCAGGCAATCATCTCCGGTTTCAGTTTGCCCGCATCGCCGCAGGCAGCCCACTCGCGCTCTTGTCCGCCGATCTGGTCTTTAGTCTGAATGCCCCGGACAAAGAAGGAAACCTCGCGGCTGGAGCTCACGCAAAGGAGAGAAGCGGGAGCGGCCGGGCCTTCGTCTCGAAGGCCTTGTCGAGCACTTCCTGGGTAATTTCCTCCTTCACAGCTTGCTGCGCCTCGCAAGCAGAAGAACCCCCCCCCGCCCCCCATATTCGAGTTTCTCAGACAGCTGTAGACATCTGGGTTCTGGGCCACGGAATCCACTGCCCTGTCGGGCTGCCCGGTCTTGCCGTGGCATAGGGCAGCATCCTCTTTGGAGTCCGGCCTCGGCACTGCTGCTTTGGCTCGCTCCCAGGACAGGAAAAGTCTGCTGAGATCTGCTGAGGCTTGTGCGGCTGCTGCGCACGCCGCCGCAGCAGCACCACGGCCTGCATGGCGCCCAGCCGCTGTGGGCGCATGGGCCCGCCCGCCGCACAGCTGCAAAAACCGTGCTTGCCTCGCTCTCTGCTGGCGCGGCTGGTGGCGCTGGCGGCTTCTCTCGCCCCAAACAGCAGGCGTTCCCCATCGCGCTAGGCCTTGAACGGGAATCATGCGATCACACCTGAAGGCCACGCGTTGAATATACAACTGCTGGAGGCTGGAGCCTTCGGCGTCTCGGAGCGCTGGTGCGGAAGGCTCCCGAACCGTCGCGAGCCGAACCGCAGCATGTAAATCCCACCGAAGCCCGGGCCCATCAGATCATCAAGAGATGCCAAAGCTTTGATGATGATGATGATGATGATGATGATGATGTCACAACCCTTCCGGGGACAAGACAAAATCGCTGTCTGAAATGCCTGAATTACCCCTCCGGTTTCGTCAACAGCACCAGGAAAAACTCAGACGGAAGATAGTGGCAGTTGTGATTTAGCCGCTAGCCCCAACAAAGCACATCGAGGACAGTGGCAGTCGGCCTCATGTGGCACCCGCTTGCCCTTCAACGAGGCCAGCCAGTCCTGGGGGCCGTCAGACTCCAGCGGGGGCACTTCCGAGACGAGGCCCAAGCTGAGAATCCAGCGACTTCGGCAGGAACTGCAGGCACTGTTGGAGCTGCAGGCTGCTCTTCTCTTCGCTCATCTTCCTGACCAGAAGTCAACTCTGCCCAGGCAACGCAGCAGCACCGTGTCAGCTCGATAGCGTAACGGATCTGTGTGAGAGCCCGACACTGACAACTGATGCATACAACTGCCCAGGCCAACTCTCCGAACGTGTAAGTCCCAGCTTTCTTGCGGAGCGAAGACGCGCCACAGAGTGAGGCTTTTTGCTGCAGCGAATCATTTTCGGCGCTTGCTTGCCCGGGCACCGGCCTGCAGGGGCGCTTGGCAACTGAGTGGCCGAAAAAACAAGACTTTATCAAAAACAGTCGGTAACGACTGCGGACGAGGAGGACGAGGAGGGCGACGAAAACAAGAGCGACGGTGGCGACCAACATGACTAGGACTAGGACGATGGTGACGGGTAGAAGGCAGTGGCTGCGGCGGCAGCGGCAGCAGCGGCGGCAGCGGCAGCAGCAGCAACTCCAGCAACGACAATACAGAAAGTACTCAAAAACGACGCATTGAGCCTCCATCGGAAAGTGACCGCTTCCAAGATAGCCACTACTTGCCGCGACGACGCTCGGGGATTCATCATGGGCCTTGGCCTGCAAGAAATCAAATCAAAGTCAAAGCCAGATCTGCAAGGATCTAGCTGAGGCATGGAGTCAACAGGTGCAGACAGGCCACACCTGTACAACGAATGCACAAGATTGCAAGCAACTCTACTGATGGATGTCTTGCATCACGCACTCTCACGTGAGAATCAGATAAAAGACATTGCAGCCTTCCAGCCTTCGTTCTCGCGGCACCAGCCTCGACCAGTAGCTTGGCAATTTCCAAGTACGCGTGTCTTCTGCTGTCGGCCTCTCGCCATGCGAATACCATCTGATCATTGGCTTCGGGCTGAATTCACGGATCAAGTTGTGATTGCAAATGATTGCTACTGCTATGCTTGTCGCTGGAGCTGGAGCTCAAGGTCTGGGAATCACACCCGGAGAGCTTTGCAAGCTACGCAGCTACCCCCTCGTCCACTTTGGCAGCCTCTTCCAGCGGCTCTGCACCTTCCATGCAGCGTTGCAGCTCCCCACACCCAGATGCCAAATGCATCGCGGCAAAGCTCGCAGCATTCAATCTCCCGCCTTCCAGGCTGCCCTCTGTCGCCACGAGCGGGGTCTCCCCGTTTCTGTTGGCCTCCGAATCACCAGGCCGGTTCTTCGACTCGTCCACCCCTCTAGAAACCCCCTGCCGCTTTAGCTTTTTGATCCCCTGACGACATGTAACGTCACCACGGTACAATTCTGTCTGCACTCTTCCTCACTTTGCCCGGAGGCTGCCTGGTTGACGTCGGCGCCAGCATCCACCAGAGCCCGGACCACCTCAAGCAGGGACCGCGAAGAGGCCGGACCAATCAGCAAACCCTTCCAATGTCTCTAGGAAGACGTGAAGCTGCCCGAACTGCCCTGAAGTCTAGAAAACGCTCGAATATCTACTTCCACGCACGTACTTCTGTATGTATATCTATATGCTCTCTGTCCATCTATCTCTATAAAAATATATATATATATAT